ATAATGGTGAGTTGTAAACATCTTGCAGAACTTAGAACTTTTCTTGAACTATCGTGTGAGAGCACACTTTTACCTACATCAAGAGAAAGGTACTCGTATAGATTCAATTGCAATGATGCTGAATCTGCTGACTCAGGCTTTAACAAAACTCTAGTTTTGTACATACCAAGCTGCATTTATGGGCATAATTCTCCTTCAACTAGTACTAATATGAATTTAATTGTATCTACAAACGGCATGCATCTCTGAAAAATGAATGATTTATATACACTACAGATGAAGATATTCGCGTTGGAGCATGGGAAAATTTAACATACACGGGCGATCGAAAGCCCCTTATGACCAAGGTTTGGCTACTCCCTGTGCACTTATATTTCATCTTCAAAGTTTCAGATGATGAGGTTTCGGTCCTTGTGCATTTGCTCTGTCAGTGTATGGATATTACAATGATCATGCATCATAGTTTGAGACATGCATGCATTTTAAAAACCGATAATGCATGATGAGATTGCTTCAAGAGGCCAGTACTGACAGTAGGGGTGAAAAAAATTCGACTAGACTTGAAAAACCAATTTTTTCGACTCGACTTAAATTGACTTCGATTGTAATTTCATAAACTCGACTCGACTCGAAGTTCAAACCGAACCGAGTTGTAAAACGCAACTCAAATAAACTCAAATTTTTTAGTAATTAGTGTTGGTAATGCTCAATCCCACATAGTATTGAAAATACTATTGAGAATGAGTATTTATAGTATGGAATTCCACTTCCTTGTTGAGTGAAAGAGAATAAGGGGGACTCTCGCGCACCGTTGCCGCCGTCGTCCGTCTCGTCTCGGATCGGCTTGTGGTCGTGGTCTCAGATACTATATTTTTAGAGAAAATTCTTGAGGAATTTCTTTTTGAAAGAAACAAATGGAAAAATGTGAAAGATTTCAACTGATCTTTATAGGCTGCTGAGGACTGTTTAATTTCAAATGATAACAACTGGTTTATGAGAGTTATCGGAAATTAAACATTTTTTCCTAAATTAAATAAAAAACGTTAAGATGTATCTGGACTGATTTCCAGCTTTGTACAGATGAGACAAACTGTTAATATCAGGAGTTATTTGATTTAATTTCATGGGTTACATATATAATTTCGGAGTTATAACAGCTGAAACAATATGCAATGAACCTGGACTATTTTTTAGTCAGGTTCATCTAGACGTTTCACTGTTACAAAAGAAGAGATTTAATCCTGAAATTTTATGGACGATTTTAACCCTATTTCTAGCCTATAAATAGAGGGTTATATTCATCTTCTCAACTTACTCTCAACATTCACAATTCACTCTCAAAGTGTTTTCTGCAATTATTCTTTCTGTGCTTTCCAATAAGAAGAGCAATACCACCGGCAGTCCACTCCGATTTCGGGTGTACGGAATTCGGAGCGACCGTGTTAACCTCGGGAGACGGTCCGCCTACCACAGCGATTACACACATCTGGGCGAATTCGTTTCTAAGGCAGTGGTTATACCAAGACACGGTTTACGAATCTGTTCCTTTTAATTATTGTTTATATTTCCAATCAGTGCTAACGGTGTAGTTTTGCAGTTCATATATCCAACAATTAGTAGATTAATTTTCATGTTTGAGTCGAAGTTTGAATCGAGTCCTTCAATATTGTATGGTATATATAAATCACATATGAAGAAAATACGAAAAAATATATATGTCTTGTATATGGTTATAAAATACCATTTAAATTGGAATCAAATAATGTCGTAATATTGTAAATATTTATAATTAAATTTAAATAGAAACTCGAATTTAATTAACTCGACTCGACTCGAAAAAATTTCAAGTCAACTCCAAGTTATTAAATAGAACTCGAAAACTCGTTTTTTCACTTGACTCGGTCAGACGCTCACCCCTACCGACAAATACCTTAGACAACCAATCATTTTAAGCTCTATTGGAGAAAAAACCAGCAATAATGTCGATATGGGAACTAACCACCCAGAGATACCGACACGCACCCTTCGGCAGTTTTCTCTATTAAAACATCTGCATCGACATCAGCCGCCGGTTAGATCGATGCTCTAATGCAATTTAACCAAATTATCGAGTAATCTCTACTGTGTTAAAGGTACTGCACCACAGTTTTGATTGAAACATACATCATCGGCATCATCTTCTATGACCGTACATAAACGACGTTAATATACGTGGAGTTTGACGATGTAAATGCAGCTGTCGGGGAGAAGAGGTGTTCTAAGCTAATGTAGTAACATTTTAGGAGCTTCATCTGCTACTCATTAGAGAAGAATACGAGAAAAATTCATTGAATTATGCTTAAATGATCGTATTTAGGCCTGTAAACGAACCGAACGCACACGAACGGAGGTATGTTCATGTTCACTCATTTAATAAATAAACGAACTTAAACGAACAAAATTTTTTTTGTTCATGTTCGTTTATTAAGGAATATAACTTGTTCATGTAATAAACGAACATAAACAAACACGAACATAAACGAACATAATTGAACACGAACATAAACATTAAAGACCCTACCTTTCATTGTTCTTTTATAAAAAATAGTCGACAATGCAAATCAACCAAATCTACAGTGATTAAATAGCGTAAGAGCTAATTAACAATGATGAAATGTTTGAAGATATCAAATATTTCGATCGATCTTTTAAAGATATTAAATGATTCACACGACTTTAATTTAACGCTATAACATTTATCTTAGTGATCCATGGTTACATATGAACAATCATTTTCCACTACATTATTCTAATAAATTCACCGACTAAAAGTTTTGTGACATCAATGTCAGACTTTAGTGAGGTTTGTTAATAATGGTCCTTTCCGTTGGCAGAGTAGAAAATTTAACAGCATGAAGATTTCGAACAGTACAAATTGGACTACAAGGCAATAACATAGATCCGAAATCCCTTCGATGCTACATATCGTAACTGATATTATTGTTAAACCACCATTCAAAATTTTAACGTACCTAAAATCTATTCCACAACTAAAGGTCAAGAACTATGAAAACAAAAGTTCATTGTCAAAGTGTATTTTCTACTTATTAATGGGTTCTTCCTGGAAAACCCATTACTTCCGCTATTATACTCTTTTTCAAAAATTGCATAGAAACCTTTGTTTTGTTTTCTGGCAAATTCTATATATTTTTCTCTTTACTGATGCTCATATACTTCCGATTGTTACATTTATCTTCCCATCTATTTCTAGAAAGAAGTATAATGTTTTCTTGAGTTTTAGATGTGAAGATACCCGCAATAACTTTACATATTAACTATTAAGCCAAATAAAACAGAGAAAGAGATGAAAACAGACTTGTCAAACTTCAGATTGCACTATAATATAACTTGTTTTGAAGCTTTCAGCGATCGTCTCCACTCTCCAGTGAATACTAGGTTTGGAAAAAAAAAGGAGGAAAATGAATATATGTGCGAGGTGGCTCACGAGTTAACATATTCAATTTAATCTCCAAATAAAATTGGGTTAATTATGGAGTTGGTCATCAGAATATCATATTAATTAATATTTTTAAGATACTTACAAATTGGTCACCAAAATTGATTTAAGAAGATTGGGTTAAACATAAATGAATGAACATAAGCGAACATAACCGAACGAACATAAACGAACATAACCGAACGTTCACAAACGTAAATGAACGAACAAGACCTATGTTCATGTTCGTTCATTTAATAAATAAACAAACATAAATGAACTTCCGGCCGCACAGTTTATGAACGGGTCGCTGAACGTCCAGTTCATTTACAGGCCTAATTGTATTAGTCATTAAACTCGTAAATGTTATAAAGTGACTATAAACTTACGGAAATGTTATAAAAATCATTAAATTTTATCAAGTTGTTACTGAATAGTCATTAAACTTTTATACTTCTAAAACATCATTGATAATTTTGTGTCGGTACAATAAATGTAATGGTCATTTTGTAATTTTTTAAAATACCATAGCCAAAACAATTATTTGGGTATAATTCAATTACCTATATTGTACTTTACGCATAGTTTATTTGGTATATGATAATTTTAACCTGCGTAATTAAGAGATAGGTAAAGTATATAAATAGTCCATGAAATTTTTAGAGCGTTTGCATTTTGGTCATCCAACTTTTAAAACTTGTTATACAATCATCAAATTTTTAGTATTTTCATTTCTACCACTGCAGTTACCTCCTGTTAGTTTTTGCTGATGTAACCCTTAACTCTCGTTAACCAAACCCCATCTGCTTCTGCAGGTTATTTTTATTCTTTTTCTTTAGGTTATTTCTTCTTCTTCTTCTTCATCTTCGGGTAGAAAAGCTCGTGTAAGTTTGGATGAAGTCTCACTAGAAGCAACTAGTTTTCGGTAGCTTCAACAAGTTATGAAAAAGGTATAGTGGATGAAATTTTGACTAATTTTGGAACATGACTAATATGCACACTTCCATTACCCTTGTCTGCTCCCGAACTTGCACCGGCCAGACTTCTTTTCATCTCCCCTGCAGCCCATTTTCCGAGCCTCTTACGCCAACATAAAAGGCCATGAATATACCCACAACAAAAATGCAACAAGGCAAGCTCTACCTGCAGCTACAACAATTAATAGGATCAGCTTCCTACGTTTCCTATTTCTTACATTAGTACATTCTCTGTTCAATGGCTTTCCAAAACACAGAAGGGTCATTGAACCGAGAACCGAGTGCATTCGGAATCTCGCCTTCCAGTTTGTTTCTTGATAAATTAAAGTATCTCAACCTAAACAAGTTTGGAAGACTTGAAGGAATGGGCCCACTCAAGTTATTTGAAGAAAAATTCAAAGCTGCTAGATTGGATAGTTTTGACAATGAATCTGGTATGTTACCCGACAGGTGATTTCCATCTAATAAAAGAGTAGTCATAGATGAAAATCTGGAGATTTCCTCTGTGATTTGACCATCTAAATTATTCAAACCCAAATCAAGCTCTTTCAAATGAGATAACGAGAGATATCTCTTAGGATATTGCCCCTCAAATGATTCGAACGAAGCTGAAGCACTTCAAGATTAGAACAGCTACCAAGCTCTGATGGAATCATGCCTGAAACTCGATTGAAGCTTACTGAAAGCACAATTAATGACTGCAGTAAACCATAGTTACTCGGAATCCGACCAGTGAATCCATTGGAACTGAGATTCAAGTACTGCAAATCGACCAAGTTGCTGAAACCTTCAGGAACCTTATCAGACAACTTGTGATGCAGGGGGATCCGAGACAGATGATGCTGAGCTGTCAGATTGCACGTTGATGGCGCTGAGATACCATGAGTTGGTAGATCAACGCAAAGGCGGGAATTGATTGTGACATGTTCCTCATTGGTGTCGTTTTGAGTATGTTTGAGTATGTTCCAGTCTTTTGGCCATAACTTTGCCATACCATGTGACATTTTTTTCAACCTCAAATTCTGCCGTTTTCCCCTCCGGATCACTAGATTTAGTTATTTTTTACTATTTATGGTAATATTCCGATTGTTAATTAGGAAGTCAATTAAATCCTTTAGGCCGGATTTTTGGGAGATTGCTTATTTTATTTCGAATTTCAATTTAGAGTGATTTTTGGGATTTTGCTATTTTTGGCAAAATTCGAATAAAGACGATTTTTGGCTATAACAGTCCGGCTTGTGGACTGCTTTTTTGGCATTGTTTGATTTTATAATATTTTATTAAACCCTAGAGACTTTTTTTTCTGGTTTTTGGGCGAATTTTCTCTTGTGAATCGTTTGTCAGAGCTAGCCTACAGGATAATCACTATTCTGTCTGGCGTCAACTTGTTTTCTTGTAGAGCAACAACCTGCAAATTTGGTAACCCAAAAAGCTCCAAAATTAGTCATTATCTATAAGGAACATGCAAATATGCACACCACAAAATCTTTTCATCTACTATACCATTTCCATAACTTGTTGAAACTGCCGAAAACTAGTTGCTTCTGGTGAGACTTCATCCAAACTTACACAAGAGCTTTCCCTCCCGTTTGAAGAAGAAGTAGAAGAAGAATAGGAAGTAACCTGTAGAAGAAGAAATAATATGGAGAAAAAGAAGAAAAATTAACCTGGAGAAGAAGATGGGGGTGGTTAACGGTAGTTAAGGGCCACGTCATCAAAAACTAAGGGGAGATAACGGCAGGGACAGAAATGAAAACGAATTAAAAGTTTGATGACTGTATTGAAAGTTTATAAAGTTAAGTGACTGAAATGCAAGTGTCCTAAAAGTTAATGGACTATTTATATACTTTACCCTTAAGAGATCTAAGGATTGTGAGTGAATGGATTAAAGGACCAAAGAATGTTATCCATTGCCGAGGTCAAGCAGGCTACTTGATATCGAATGGAAAAACAATCAAGGGAGGATTAACTCGTTCTAATTACCTTCATTTTCCTAACTAGAAAATTAGGGAAAAATTAGTGATTTGTTCCCTTGATACTCTGGTGACAACTTTCTGTCAATACATCGATCTGTCTCTCTCCCTCTTCCTCCTCCATTGCAATTGCAGCAGTTAATGAAAAAAAAAGTGAAAGAAGAAAGACAAACCCCCGATTCTCATTGAAACACCCATTTCAAATACGAATTTACAATATTTAGATTAGTTCATGCATAGCTTCATCAACGATTTAAAATTCAGCCATATTAACACGAACAAATGAAATTCAAGAGTGATAAGTTGAATGACTTAATCTCGAGTTCGTTCAAGAAATATACGGACCTGAAGGAACAGGCTTACCTGGACGAAATGGAAGCCGGAACGGAGAGCGCAGACCTCGATAAGGTCTTCGAAGAAGTCGAGAACGTCAAGGAAGACATGAAAGGCGTCGAAAAGTTGTACAAGGCATTACAGGAAGCCAACGAGGAATGCAAAACTGCCCACAGCGCCAACGCCATGAAGCAGCTTCGTTCCCGAATGGACGCCGATGTCGAACAGGTGCTTAAACGGGTCAAAATCATCAAAGGGAAGCTCGAAGGGTTGGAACGCTCGAAAGCGGCTAGTCGGAACGTTCCCGGTTGCGGTCCCGGTTCGTCTACGGATAGAACCCGGACCTCGGTTGTCAGTGGGTTGGGGAAGAAACCGAAGGATATGATGGATGGTTTTCAAGCACTAAGGGCGAGGATGCAGGCGGAGTATAAAGAAACAGTATAACGTCGGTACTTCACCATCACCGGAGAGAAACCCGACGAGGAAACGATCGAGAACTTGATATCGAGCGGCGAAAGTGAAAGCTTCCTACAAAGGGCAATCCAAGAACAAGGGAGCGGTCAGATTATGGACACCATTTCGGAGATTCAAGAAAGGCACGATGCGGTGAAGGAGATAGAGAAGAACTTGATAGAGCTGCACCAGATATTCCTGGACATGGCGGCGCTAGTAGAAGCTCAGGGCCAACAACTCAACGACATCGAGAGCAACGTAGCGAAAGCGAGTTCCTTCGTGAGGCGAGGGACCGAACAGCTGGTGGAAGCTAGGGAAGAGCAGAAGAGCTCGAGGAAATGGATGTGCATGGCAATCATTGCTGCTATCGTCCTCATTATTGTTATCCTTATACCGCTCCTCCCAACAATTATAACTCTCCTTAATAACAAGTAAAGCTTCTTACAACAGAATTAATTATATTTAGAGGAAGGGAAGAGGGACTTTAAAGAAAGGAACGAGGGTGTTTCTAGTGTATACATAATTCATGATCTAAATAATACGAGGACTAATGATGAGTAACTTGACCAATCTATATGTGTTTTCTAAAATAATTATTTAAACAAATATTAAAAATAAAATTTGATATCATTCAGTCTAATTCTTCTTTTAAATGAAGCTGCAATCCAACCAAGTTAAGAACTAGAGATTCTTATCAAGCGAGTGATCGCGAGTTGGATAGTGTTCGACTCGTACTTGTTAAAAAAATTTATTGCTTGACTCAACTTGTTACTCATTAAGTTTGTTAAAATTTTATTCGACTCATGCTCATAAAAACTTGTTGCTCAACTCGACTCTTTACTCATTAAACTCATCGCTTGTTAATCTTACCAGAATTTTTACCTTATTTTTTAACTATAGGTATAGACTGTAATATCCCAAATATCAAACCAGGGACTATATCGAAAAGATTTGAAAATTTAAGATTAAAATTGAATATGTGGTCAAAGATGAGAAAAACGATTTGGAATAGTGTTTAGACTAATTTGTATCAATAGATAAGTTAAGAGGGCACTTTGGTCTTTTAAGAGGAAAATGAATTTAAAAATAGATAGAGATTTTAAATAGGAAGAAAGAGGAAAGTAAAGTAATTCTACACTTCTTATTCTTCTTCTTCACATTGGTGTGCTCTCCTCTCTAGCATAAGGTAAATTCCCATTAACTAGTGTTTTCTTTAAATTATGGGTTTGCTTTGGTAACATTAAGTGATATATATATGCATAAGAAAGGATTAGATGGGATTAAAATGAAGATATAAGGGAAATAATGGGGATTTTATAAAATGGGTTTTTAAATGATATGTTAATATATGAGTGTTTATTGATGCTTATTGGTAGATTTGACTTGTTAAAGAGCTAATTGAGAAATTAGAAACATTGGATGAGTTTAAAAACAAGATAGAAATTTTGGTGTGATTCTTAGAAGCAAATGATCTTGAGATTGGTAGATTTGACTTGTTAAAGAGCTAATTGAGAGATTAGAAACATTGGATGAGTTTAAAAACAAGATAGAAATTTTGGTGTGATTCTTAGAAGCAAATGATCTTGAGAGATACTAAATGTTTTAAGTATCTAAATGAGGGAAAATTAGTATGCATAAGTAATGAAGAGTTTGGTAGCATTATGAGATGTAATCCTAACGAAATTTGACCTCATTTGTGTAATAATCGGGTTAAAAACTAGAAAATATGGGCACGAGTATCGATAAAGATAGAACAGTACCGATACTATAAGTTAAAAATAGGATGAATCAGCTGCGTAGTATCGATATTGATTCAATCAGTATCGATACCAAAGGGGGAGTATCGATACCGAAGGGAAGGTATCGGTATCGATACCATGGGAAGGTATCGGTACCATAGTATGATAGTATCGATTCCATGGTAGGGGTATCGATACTGAGGAACCAGAAATTGTATGAAAGACTAAGATTGTTGATTTGTGTAATAATCTGGTTAAAAACTAGAAAATATGGGCACGAGTATCGATAAAGATAGAACAGTACCGATACTATAAGTTAAAAATAGGATGAATCAGCTGCGTAGTATCGATATTGATTCAATCAGTATCGATACCAAAGGGGGAGTATCGATACCGAAGGAAGGTATCGGTATCGATACCATGGGAAGGTATCGGTACCATAGTATGATAGTAATTCCATGGTAGGGGTATCGATACTGAGGAACCGGAAATTGTATGAAAGACTAAGATTGTTGTGGGAAAAGTTACTAATAGGTACTTTTGAGTAATGTTTAAATATAATTGTTAGGAATTATACTAAGAATTGATATTATACATGTATATAATGGATATGGAATAGATCGAAATCAAGCTCCTGAGTCAAGTAAAGTTAAAGGCAAAGGTCAAGTTCCGGAGTAGCAGTTTGTGCGTTTTGGATATCAAAGCAAGGCAAGCCAGGTGAGTACATTTATTATATGCAATTTATTTAAGGACAATATGCAATAAATACATTTAGAATGTTTAAAGTTTAAAGTATGTTTATAGCAGTTACTAAGTTTTATTTAATGTATGGAAAGAATATTATGAATGAGTTTTAGAGTATGAATTGCTCTAGAACGAATGAATAAAAGAATAATGCATATGGGTGCATTATTGGCATGAAAGGATGCCTTAGTTGAAATGCATATGGGTGCATTATTGGCATGAAAGGATGCCGTAGCTTAATGCATATGGGTGCATTATCGGCATAAAAGAATAATGTATATGGGTCCATTATTGGAATGAAAGGATGCCAAAGTTGAAATGCATATGGGTGCATTATCAACATAAAAGTATGCTATAATTGAAAATGCATAATGGTGTATGATAAACGTGAATGGACGTTATAAATGAAAATAAGTAATAGCGACCAATGATTATGACAATTTTGAATGAAATATAGTTTAACTAAAAAGGATTATAGAATCCTTAAAGAATATACAATTCGATGTGAATCAAATAATATGACATACTTATGTATATATAAAGGTTTCTTTACAATATTGTATCTCACTAAGTAAATACTTAACATGTTGCTTTCACGTATAGGTAAACGTGAAGACTAATCCAGTAAGGAGTGCAGTCGTATCAGAAGATATCATCAATTAAGGTTAACTTACCAGTAATATTAGGACAATAGAAATCATTTTGGAACTTTGTTTGGCATGTAACTAAATTTACCAAAATATTTTGTAATATATCTTAATGAGTACTACTTATCATGTTAATTTATGTGGAATTAAGTTTGCAACAAAATTTTAAAGGTTTTTTTTTCAAAATGTGTATACAATTTTTAAAGTGATGTGACATTTGTATTCGTATAAGGAAACATATACGGGATATGGGTGTTACATAGAAACTCATTTTCGTATGGAGTTTTTTTTATATAATATCATATAGTTTTTGAAAGATTTCTTTTGTTTTTTGTTTTTTTAAAACATATAGTTTTTTTTAAAAATCAGTTTTTGATATATATATAGTTTTTGAAAACATTTTGAAAATTTATATAATATATAGTTTTTGAAAACATTTTGAAAACTTATATAATATATAGTTTTGAAAATTATTTTGGAAAATAAATATTATTATTATTATTATATATTACTTATTTATTTTATTTTAATTTTTTTAAACAAGTCCAATGAGTCCAGGTTCGGGTCAAAGAATGAAGTCCAACCGAGCTTGCAAGCCTGACCCATCAAGCAGACCCAGTGGGAGGCCCAAGCGTGCAAGCCTAGTAGGAATAAAGTCTATTAGGGTTTCATCATCAAATCCAGAGCCGCACAGTCGAGAGCCAAGCACGCGAAACGACCGACCGAGATGTCCGAAAGAAGAACCCGAGACTGCAGCATCCCAGGGTTTTTGGTCAACTCACAACTACACGAATGGCTGAACGACCCAATAATAACGGGAACAGCCCGTTGAGGGCGGAAGCAACAAACACCGGTGGTGGGGTATAAATACCCCACCAAATCTGTCAATCGGAGAACACAATACAACGATCTAACAAAAGGCAGCAAACATCGATCAACAAGGAAAATCACAGAGAGAAACGAGCAAACCCAACAACCCAAAACAAAAATCATTCGAATATAACAAAAAATAATAAAAACATCAAGCCTTCGCCGAAAGCCACCGGGAGAGCGTAAGGACCACGTCGGGAAACCAAGAGTCGTCGGAACTCAAGAGACGC